TAAGAGTCATGTCCGTTTACAAACTAACTGGCTGACTAGTCAACAAAGAAACAAACACCAATCAGCAAATTCTCTCCCCCCCCTCCCCCAAAGAAGTCAGTCTTACAGCCAGTCAAGAAATTTACCGCCTGTAATCAGAAAGTTCGTTATCCAGTTCACCGAAATTACGTCCATACCCTCTCTATTTTGCCTGGTTTTGCTAAAAGCTGAAAACACTGGGTAGGCCTATAGTTATTTGTTTGTGTGCCCACATATGTAGCATAGTCGAAGTTTATACTGCGTCTAGGGTTGTGATAATTAACGGTTATGGTTCCACCTATCTTAGGTTCAAATACTGATATTTTTTCCACATGTTTATGGAAATAATGCTCCCAAATTATCGACTTCAATAAGCAATTTGTTGAATATTATTTAAAATGATTGGTATCTGGTATGAAGGACTGCCTCTGTGGTCTAGAGGTCAGAGTTCCTGGCTATAGGTCCAGAGGTCCGGGCTCGATTCCCGACGCTACCTGATTTTCTGAGAAGTAGTGGGTTTGGAACGGGGTCTACTCAGCCTCGTGAGGATAATTGAGGAACTATTTCAATGAAATAGCGGGCCCGGTCTAGAAAATCGAGATTTACGGCCGTGGGGATCCGTTGCGCTGACCACGTGATACCCTCTATCCGCTAAAGTTGGCACTGACTTCGCCGACAATCGACGGTCGTCATAGTTCGCTTACGGACTATAGGCCACGGAGTTTCTCTTTAGGTATCGGGTGCGAAGAGACTTATTTTAGTTAAGCAGTAATATTTTGTGAAGTTCGACGTAATTTGTTTATTTACTTTCGACATATTTAACATTTCATTCAGTAACTCAAATTATAGTGTCGAATGATGTGATAATTAGTGATTAATGAACAAGACAGAACATAAGAAGAAACAGTAGCAAACTAATTTAAGGTACTAACTTGACACTTTCTCGGAAAAATGAGGCAAACACGAAAATACTTGATCGAGATTCGAACTGGGCACCTTCCGAATACAACCTAGAGCGTCGCTGCTAGAGCCAACGTGTTCGGTTTTTCGTGTTTTTTACTCCGTTAGAAAATGGAACTCCCTGTCAAAAGCTTATACACTGCTGATTCTTGTGAATTTGAATAATACACAAAGGTAGCTTGTAACAGTGGTTCTCTACCTTTGTGAGACCGCAGTCTGGTATATATATATATATAGTAACGTGTTTTG